GTCACAGCTCACAGCAGTCTCATACTCGTGGGCTTAAGCAATTCTCTTGCCTTAGCCTCCCAAATAGCTGGGACTATAGGGGCCTACCACAATGCCCGGCTATTTTTTGGTTGTAGTTGTTACTGTTGTTTGGCAGGTTCGGACCTGCCACCCTCTGTGTATGTGGCTGGCGCCCTAGCAGCTGAGCTATAAGCACTGAGCCTGGATCACACTTTCTATCTCTGTTTTATCCCGTGAACAGTGCATATTTTCTTCCTATCCCAGATCATCCTTTCCAGGTAGTCTTCTGAGAGGGATAGTTCTTTGTTCAAGTCATAATGGCCTTTTAAACATTTCAGTCCTCTTGTAGGGTGTGATAGCTGGGATCAACGCCAGTCTCCGGGTCAGTCGCAAGCCTCCCTTTGTCCTGAGCCGAACAGAAGGCTACATAGGAGTCCTGATTGATGACCTCACCACACTGGGCACCAGTGAACCCTACCGCATGTTTACCAGCCGAGTGGAGTTCCGTTTGTCCCTGCGCCCTGATAATGCCGACAGCCGCCTCACGTTTCGAGGTGACTCTTCTCTGCATCCTGCAACCTGATCTCCTCTGCTTTGAAACCTCTCTTTATGTTCTCTCTCTCTTCCCTAGGGTATAAGGAAGCTGGCTGTGTTTCCCAACAACGATATGAAAGAGCTTCTTGGATGAAGTCTTCTTTAGAAGAAGGCATTTCTGTGTTGAAATCTATTGAGTTTTCAAGCTCTAAATGGAAAAAATTAATACCACAGGCTCCTATAAGTACTAGCAGAAGTCTGCCTGTCAGGTATGCATTTTGATATAGACCTTTCTTTTTATAGAAAAACAAGATAATTTCAGACATTATAGGCCTCTACCTACACATTTTAAATGAATATGCCTTTCTTAGAGTATCTTTTCAAAATCTTTTTAGGTGACTCATCTTTTTTTTCAGTATTAAAAAAATAAATATGTATTTTTTTTTTTACAGTTTTTGGCCGTGGCTGGGTTTGAACCTGCCACCTCCGGCATATGGGGCCAGCGCCCTACTCCTTTGAACCACAGGTGCCGCCCAATTTAAAAAAATGTTACGTATAATTTCCTTTGTGGTTCCCAATGAGTTCTTTTGGCTAATTTTTCTATTTTTTTAGTAGAAATGGGGTCTCTTTTTTTTTTTTTTTTTTGAGCCGGAGCCTCAAGCTATCCGCCTGGGTAGAGTGCTATGGCATCACAGCTCACAGCAACCTCCAACTCCTGGGCTCAAGCGAGTCTCCTGCCTCAGCCTCCCAAGTAGCTGGGACCACAGGCGTCTGCCACAACGCCTGGCCATTTTTTGGTTGCAGCCATCGTTGTTTGGCGGCCCGGGCTGTGGATTCGAACCCGCCACCTTAGGTGTATGTGGCTGGCGCCTTAGCCGCTTGAGCCACAGGCACCGAGCCAGAAATGGGGTCTCTTGATCAGGCCAGTCTTGAACTCCTGAACTCAAGCAATCCACTTCGACCAGCTAGGAAAATAGTTTTTAAAATTATCCAGGTATGATGGCATGCACCTGTAGTCCTTGCTACTTAGGAGACTACTTAGGAGACTGAGCCAGGAGGATTTATTAAGCCTAGAAACTTGAGGTTATAGTGAGCTATGATCATGCCACTGTGCTCTAGCCTAGAGGACAAAGCAAAACCTTGTCTCAGAAAGAAAAGTTCCGGGCCAGGTGTGGTGCACCTATAGTCCCAGCTACTCAGGAGGTGGAGGCGGAAGCAGGAGGATTGCTTGAACCCAGGAGTTTGAGGTGGCTGTAAGGTAGGCTGACCCCATAACACTCTAGCCTCAGGCGACAGAGTGAGACTCTGTCTCAAAGAAAAAAATGTTTTCATGTGGTAAAAATTAAAATGTGACTAAAACAATACTAATCTTCTGTAGCATAGTTTTTTAAAATGTGAATTGTTCTAAGATAAGAACTACTATGACACTTTTTTTTGTAGAGACAGAGTCTCACTTAATCGCCCTTGTGGCATCACACAGCTCACAGCAACCTCCAACTCCTGGGCTTAGGCCATTCTCTTGCCTCAGCCTGCAGAGTAGCTGGGACTACAGGCGCCCACCACAACGCACAGCTATTTTGTTGCAGTTTGGCCAGGGTTGGGTTTTAAACCCACCACCCTTAGTATATGGGACTGGCGCCCAACGCACTGAGCCACAGGCACTGCCTCTACTGATACTTTTATCAGTTTGTTTTACAGAGACTTAAAACATGCTCACAACAGCCTCTTGGTCTTTAGGGAATTCTGTAGCAGAAAGCAGGGAGCTTCCGTCATGGTTCCTAGCATGAAAGGATGGCTCATTCACAGGACACTGGGACAGAACATGGCTGAGATGTAAAACACGTTCCATGTGCTTGGGAAATTCGATGAAACCCTTGTTAGAGATTATTCTGTCCTTACACGGAAGGGAGGACAAGTTGATGACTGGCCTTCCACCCTTCCCAACTACTTAATTCCCCTGATAAAGAGTTGGAGAGAATCAAATGTTAAACCTTATTGAGGGCCTGCCATTTAATGGAGGCGATTACATTTGCTCATTGTACTTGGAAACAATTAAGAGTATTTTTTGGTGTTCTTTATTCTGAGACTTTACATCATGCCATATATGGATCCTTACGTTAATTAAACGTCTGTGTATTTGCAGTGCTCTGGATGTTCTGAAGTATGAGGAAGTTGACATGGAGTTATTAGCCCAGGCTGTTCCAGACCCCTTGAGGAAGTATACTCAATGTAGAGAGCTGGCTGACAGACTGAAAATAGAAGGTAGAAAATATTTTTTTACCTAAGATGCCTATAGACTGTCTTTTCCATTTGTGAAATTATGAATAGACAGTAGATGTGTTAAGAGCTCTGTGCCAGGAGGAGCCCCTGTTATGGTGGGACCAGCACAGCGTACCCTTGGTGCTGCCCAGTGTGGTCAGCAGCCAGCAGCATCACAACATCTGGAAGCTTATTAGGAATGAAGAGTCTCAGGCTCCACCACAGACCCACTGAGTGAGTGGTGTGCACATTTCCAGTAAGTGATCTATAGAGCTTCGTATTGAAAAATAATTTTTTTTTTTAACCTTAAACTCTTTTTATGTTTTCCCCACCTAATGTTCTAATAATGTGAAAAATAATACCATCTTTGGATTTGACCATACCATATGCTGGACTATTCTATAACTGACAAATACTTATAAGGCAGAGAAATTCAGAATCTGCTTCCAGACATCATAAAACACGAGCTCTCAGGCTCTTGGCCAGATGGCTTTGGTAATTGTACTGTTTTTTCTTCAAGTTTTTTTTTTAATGCAAATTCCAAATATAAACAAAAACACTAAGAATAATATTGGCTTCTGCATTTTGATAGCAGGTGTTTTTTCCTGGAGTGGAAAATTATTATATATAGTGAAAAAGGCAAGAAACAGGACCCTGTGGGGAGAAGGGCAGGAGCAGTTGATGGTGGTGTGCTGTCCAAGCAGGAAAAGACTTCGAGCTCCTTGGAGACCTAGCGGGGGAGTGATCACGCTGTGTTCTTCCTAACAGTGGCATTTTCTTTTTAGTCCCACAGAGGTCTGTCACCTTGCTATGCTGTTGCTCTATGTGTAGGATGACCCCAGGGCTACCTACCATACTACCATGCAAGGTTACCCAAGTTCAGCAACAAAAGGAAACCCACCAGAAACTCTAGAATCATTCTTCAAAATGATCAAACACTAGTAATCTGCTGATGTACAAGAAATATTGTTGACCTTTTATTTCACCATCATGATTTTTCATATTGAGTAAAAATTACTTTATTAAACATTTATGGCTTTTAGTACCAAGGAAAGTGATTGGATTATATATTTTAAGCTTGGTTTGCACTGAGTACAGTGGCACACCCTTATAGTCCCAGCTATTTGGGAGGCTGAGGGAGGGGGATTGCTTGCGTCCAGGAGTTCAAAGCTGTAATGTGCTATAATCACACCTGTGGTTATCCGTTGTATTCAAACCTGAGCAATATAGTCAGACTCTCCACCTCCGTCTCTGAAAAACAATTTTTTTAATTAAATTGAGCCAGATGAGATGGCTCATGCCTGTTAATGCTAGCAATTTGAGAGGTTGAGGTAGGAAGATCACTTGAGCCCGGAAGTTTGAGATAAGCCTAGCAAGACTCTGTCTGTTTCTGCAAAAAAATTTAAAAATTAGTTGGATGACTGGTTGGCACCCATAGCGCAGTGGTTACAGCATCAGCCACGTACACGGAGGGTGGCAGGTTTGAATCCAACCCGGGCCAGCTAAACAACAATGACAACTGCTATAAAAAATAGCCAGGCATTGTGGTGGGTACCTGTAGTCCCAGCTACTTGGGAGGCTGAGGCACGAGAATTGCTTAAGCCCAAGAGTTTGAGGTTGCTGTAAGCTGTGACACCACAGCACTCTACCCAGGGTGACATTGTGAGACTCTGTCTCAAAAAAAAAAAAAAATTAGTTGAATGTGGTGGCAAGTTATCTGTACTGTAGTCCTAGCTACTTGGGAGGGAGTCAGGAGGATTGCCTGAGTGCAGGAATTAGAGGCTGCAGTGACCTAATATCGTGTCACTGTATGTCAGCCTTGGTGACAGAGCAGGATCCTGTCTCAAAATAATCACAAAAAAATTGTAAGAAGGCTCGGCACCTGTGGCTCAAGTGGCTAAGGTGCCAGCCACATACACCTAAGGTGGCGGGTTCGAATCCAGCCTGGGCCCGCCAAACAAAAAATAGCCAGGCGCTGTGGTGGGCGCCTGTGGTCCCAGCTACTTCTTGGGAGGCTGAGGCAAGAGAATCGTCTAAATCCAGGAGTTGGAGGTTGCTGTGAACTGTGTGACGCCACAGCACTCTACCGAGGGCGATAAAGTGAGACTCAGTCTCTACTAAAAAAAAAAAAAAATGTACGTTGTTAGTATAACCTGGTATCATAACATGATTCTGATTTTGTTCACCAGCCACTTATGAATCAGTATTGGTCTTTCAACTACAACAAATAGAGGAAGTTCAGCGAGATGAAGCTCTTCAGTTGCCACATGACCTAGATTATTTATCTGTCAAGGACGTGTCTTTGTCCCATGAAGTTCGAGAGAAACTGCATCTCATTCGTCCACGGACGGTAAGAAAACAGGAAGTGGAACAGGAGCAAGTTATAAATAAGTATCGGAGCTTTAGTTTTTTTTTTTTTCTTTTTCTTTCTTTTTTTTTTTATTGAATGGTAACTATGTACATTAATGCACTTCTGGGGTACAGTGTGGGGTTTTCACATGCAATCTAAAGTACTTCCATCAACTGGTCAACACAGCCTTCATGTCATTTTCTCAGTTATTGCTTTAAAACGTTCACATTCTACTCTTAGAAAGATTCACCTTTAACCCTATAAGGTAAACCTCAGAAGTAATCCCTCCAAACCCGGAGCTTTAGTTTTTTTAAACCCGGTGTTTACAATGGCCGTGAAGTTTCTTATTGAATGATAAGAATGCCTTAGTTTTTTTCATGTCTCTGTATATGACAGATGTTGGTATATCCCTGTGAGAGTTGGTAAATCTTAGAATAAATAAATAACTGGAAGTCAATAATTGATTTGATTGTAATTATTCCCTAATCCCAACCGTATGCTAAACCATCTGTGCAAACTAGTATATATGCACGGCTTGAAAGAAACCACACTGTGTTGAAATGTAACGCATATTAGTGGTTATCGAATCACCGCTTAGGTCCCTCCCTAGGAGTTCCATGGTGTTGTCTTAGGAGTGAATCAAAGGAAGAGGAGAACCAGATCTCCACCCTGTGTTTCAGCCTAATATGTGTGTGTGTGTATGCACATTCGCAGTATTAAGCTTGTAATAAATATTTAAACGTTGTCAGGCTATATTTGTTGATTTCTGAGATGTATGTTTTAAAGGGGAATTTTATAAAAATATGGTCTGTAAAAAATTTGGGGAAAAAGGGCAGTGCCTGTGGCTTAAAGGAGTAGGGCGCTGGCCCCACATGCCGGAG